TTATATATAAATAAATATGATACTTACAATATTATTTAAAAATATAAATTTAATATACTAATTATATTAATTATATATTAAATATAATTCCTTCTTAAAAATTAGATAGTATAACGATTAAAATATTTTTATAAATTTTCATTCAAATATTTATAAATTAATATTAAAATTTAACTTTTAAAAATATATCATAAAGATAATTTGATAAAATATACATTTAAATAATATTATATTCCTCCAATCAAACACTGAAATTTTACATTCCTGCTAAACAAATCAAACAATGTAATATAATATTTTCATAGTAATGTTACAGTAATTTTACATTTCGTGAATCAAGCACTCTAAAAACTTAAATGACCTTAATCCACTTTTTTTTTTAAAAAAAAACCCGACCCAATATGATCGGATTCAGGTCCTATGATCATACCTTTCCCCCCTAATTTTACCCTTATCATGCTTCTAACAACCACCATTTCCCCATAATAATAACAGTATTTCCAGTGACAGAACCTAGCACTGGAAAATATGTTTAAGAGCACCAAAGATTTTGAACCTTTGGAAACAATGAATTCTTAAACTTTCCCAGAAATCCAGAAACATGAACAACGTACCAAATAAGAATACAAGTGCGATCTAAACCTAATCAGACAGGTAAATAAACACCAAGCTTTCTTTGCAATTCAATGGAAGAGCTGATAAATAAGAAGAAAAAAAAGAAAACCCCACAGATCTTCAAGTTATAGAGAGAAAGGGTATGAGTGTGTTGCTTGCCAGAAAGCAGAAACCGGCGGGCGCGTCTGGGGATTGAAGAGTAATGAAAGGAGAAGGCAAGAGCTTAGCTGATTGCTGGGTTTCGGCGTTAAGTTTTAATTTAGGGTTTTAGGGCTTGAATTTTAGTGGGCCTTTGAGGGATTTAAAGGCCTAAAATAAATCACACGAATCAATTTATTTAGAAAAAAAGTTAAAATTATCTTCTTTAAAATAATATTATATTTTCATATTTTATATGATTTAAAATAAATTAATTAAATATTACGATTTAATATTGGGAAAAAAACTAATGAACTTATATATGAACCTTTCAACACTCCATTTGTAGTCATTTATTTAATGAGTTTAAAGTTCTTGAAACGTTTTTGTTCACATTATGAGCGTGAAAAAAAATTAAAAATGGATTTTTAATTTTTTTTTTAAAAAGAAGATTTTAGAAATTTTCAATCCTACATAAATAAAAAAGATAAGATTGATGACAATTTTAAATTCTAAAAAATCAAAATTTTTAAAAGAATTTTCTAAAATAATCGAGAATCGAATCGAAACATTTAAGAAATGTTCTGACAAGTGTGATGGATGAATTCATCTGACATACATGATAAGAATGAAAGTGATGTTGTGGATTTTTTCCATTGCTTGACAATAGAGATCTATAAGGATAAGATAAAGTTATAAGATTTCGATGTTCTCTTTAGAAGACTTGAATTCGAGCAGTCGTGTCTACAGGGTGTATGTGCGTTATCAATGACTAATAAAGATTTTGAACAAATATTACCTTCTGATCACTCTCGACTATTCAAATAAAGAAAAATAAAAAAATACTATAGGGTTTAGGTATTTTAGAGAGAAGCATGGAATTATACAATTGTTTAGGGTATGTTTCTAGAGAGAAAAATTGTGGATATATGAGTTTGTTGTGCGGTAAAAGATATAAAAAGTAGATCAAAGAAATGTTTTGAAAGGGCTATGTTTAGTAGGTTGATGAGTTCGGTCCCGACCTAATCGGGTCGGATTTAAAAAATCGAGTTCAAGTCGAGTCGGGTTTTTTAAGGTTATGTTTGGATAGGGTTGGGTTTAGGGTGAAAATATTCGACCCGATCTTATAAAAAAAAATTGTAATTTTACCTTATATATTTAGGGATAATTGCAATAATATCCCTCTCTATATTTTTTATTTCAATTAAATCTCTATTTTTATTGAATAAAAATAATATTTTTAATAAATATATTATTTAGGGTCAGGTTCGGATTTTACCTAAAAAATTGGGTCGGTTCGAGTCGTGTGGAAGGTATACATTTTTCAGGTCAGGTTCAGGACGAGTGGAGGAATTATAATTTTTGGATCAAATCAGGTGGACCAAAAACCCGACCTGACACATGCCTATCCCTATACAATACATATTTTTATAGAGATAATTATTTTAATTCAGATCTTTTAAAAATATTTCTTTTTATTAAATTAGAAATGTAAAATTTGAGAAATTATGTCGTGAACGAGAGGGGAATACAATCAAGTAGAGGGTTATAATTGGAATGAAGTAGACGGTGTTGTTAATGAATTCGTAGTGGGTAAATTTGACAAATATAGTGTATCTCCTTAAAAAAAAAATACATGTTTATTATATAAAACAATATATGGATTTGATAAATGTAGTGTATTTCCTCGAAAAATATTTTAGTGCCTAAATAATTTTTACTAAAATATGTTCCTAATATTTTTTTCATTACTATTTTATGTGTCCGAACGTTAACCGCCATTAAAAATCACTGTTAAATGACACATGTCATTTATGGTATTTTGAATTTTTTTTAAAATATTTTATATTAAAAATAAAAAATGAAAAGGGTCGTCCCCCAATCCCCTTTTCCTTCCCCTTTTCCCCTCCCCTACCACGACCAACTACCACGGTCAAAATCTGACTGCCACGACGCTGACCAAACGACAAACGATCGACCACCACATTCGCTCAAACGAGCGATTACCACGATCAATCTAAGAGATTTTTAGGTTTCAAAACCCTAAAATGAAAATGTTCAATTACACTATTTTTGGGGTTGTTCGATTGATTGCGAAAGTATGAGGCTTTTTGTCGTCGGTGGTTGGTCAGTCACAAAGTTGGGTGTTCGTCGATTGCGGGACAAAAGGATTAAAATATAAGTTTTAAAAGTTTGGGGTATTTTTAATATTGAATAAAATTTGTTTTTAAAAATAAAAAAAATATTTTTTATTTTATTATTTTAAATAAAATTTCTAAAATTAATAGAACGTGATACGTGTCATTTAACTACCAAATTTAACGGCAGTTGACGTCTAGGCACCTAAAAATGTAATTAAGAAAACGTTACGTATATATTTTTAGCGAAAAAATTTTATGCACTGTAATGTTTTTCGAGATAAAGTTCAGACACTTATTTTTGTATTAAGCCTTTAAAAAAATGATACATGAACTTTTGTAATCTTAAATTAATATATAAACTTGAAAAATATTTCAAATTAGTATATGTGTTGACTTGATATCTTAACAATCAATCATGTTATTGATGTGGTATTGGTTGATTAAAATAATACAATTAAGTGTCATGTATCATAATTTGGTTACTGAAATACCATATCAATATCAAATACTAGTTTATAAACATTATTTAAATTTAGTATCAATTTGACATTTTTGTCTAAATTCAAATACCAATTTGTATAATAAGCCAAAATTAAAACAAGCGAAATATTTATTTGGGCAAACTACATGTTTAGTATCCTAACTATCTTTTTTGTTTTGTTTTGGTTATCTAACTAATTTTTTAAAAAATTTACTTTTGGTTTATTTGTTCACCTGTTGTTAAAAAATTAACCATGATGTTGATTCGTCACCATACAATCATGCCACATTTGTAACACCTTGAATTCCGGTCTACTATTTTCGGGTTTATCCGAGAGGTGAGTAGACCCTGTTAATCTCATTTTTTAATTCGTTGGACTTAATAGAGTTGGAATTTAGCCCATTTAGTCATCAAAAGGAGATTTTTGAATTTCCATTTAGTCATCAAAAGGAGATTTTTGAATTTAAAAAGATGAGGAATGACCTATAGTGTGATTTTCCCCATTTTTACAAAGATGAGCCCTTTATTCAAAAGGAGATTTTTGAATTTAAAAAGATGAGGAATGACCTATAGTGTGATTTTCCCCATTTTACAAAGATGAGCCCTTTATTTCACTCATCTTCTCCTCCTCCTCATTTCTTCATTCTTACTTGTTCTTATTCCTCTTCTAAGGCAAAGGCTAAAGGTGAGCCTTTTGAACCATTTCATGCTTCATTTTCGTCCTAAATTCATCTAGCAACCTTAGTTTAATGAATCAAAGTTTTGATTTAATTCTAACTAAAGAAAAATGGGGGTTTTCATCTAAAACATCAATAAAAGGGTTTGTGGCTAATCGAGGAGCTTCATTTCGAGATCCTAACATCAAGGTGGAGTATTTCTAATCCTTTGGAGCATTAAGCTTTCATAAATTTCAAATATTTGCAAAGATTTGTATAGTTGATCATATTAGGGTTTTAATATGATTTTTAAGATTAAAATACATTTTTGGTGTTAATAAAGTGTTTTATGACACTTAGAGACCTTAGTTAACTCTCTAAAACTTCAGTAAATGATTTGGAATCAAACTATGGCTTTTAGGATGGGTTTTAAGTGTTTCCCAAGCCTAAAATAACCATTTAAGGGTTCGAATATCGATACTAGATGAACACTATCGATACTAGATGAATTGGGGCAAAATTTGAGGATTTTGACTAGGAATATCGATACTGCCATGGGGAGTATCGATTATGCTCCTGTAGTATCGATACTCAGGGTGACAATATCGATACTAAGGCCTCATTTTCACAGCAGAATGCATTTTTGGTATCAATACTCATAGGGGTATCAATACTCATAGGGGTATCAATACTTGACCATAGGGTATCGATACTGCAAGTAGAGTATCGATATTACTCACTTTGGATGGTTAAATTTGACCCGTTTAAGCTCCATAAGAGCTAAGTACGATCCGTAATAGTAAGACTTAGTCTGTGAGGGACATAAATGACTAAACATACCTAGAAACACTCATAGGAGTAGGTTACGATAAATGTATCCATACTAAGCTTAATACTTTGAAGTATCAGGGATGTATATGGATAGTTGGGACCGAGGATCGTTACAAGAGTTATCCGTTAATCAGTACGATGAGTATGTCAGATTCAGTGGTAGCGAAAAGCAAGAGCTTCGAGAATGTCAGTGAATCCGGAAAAGTAAGTCGTCATTTGATCGCGTGTAAATGTATGTCTTGTGGCCTGCAAATCTATGCAAGTATACACAATTGAAGCAAGTAATATAGTAGTAAGTGAGTTATCGTCTCCACAGGGATTGGTGGGAATTCTTGATGTTTGCTATAGCTAGAACTATGTATCACTAGTTAGTCCTAAGAATCTTGTCTAAAAAGAAAAACAAAACAATATCAAATGATATGAATGTAATACCTCAAATTTTGGATATGACCAAAATGAAAATTTTGAAATTTTGATGGTCAAAGTAAAAAATTGGGAAAAAGTTTAGGGAATTAAGTGATAATTTCCTAAAAAGAATTTTATTCCATAAATAGATGGTTTACTCTTGAAAATGGAGTTTTTATGGAAAACATATTTTTGGAATTTGAATTTTAGTAAAGAAAAACAAGAAAGGGTTAAAGTCCGATAAGGAATCGGTAATTCCGATCGAATTGGAATTTTACAAAATTTGAAGGATGTTATAAATGGTTGGAATATTATTTTAATATTTCATATCAGAGAATTTGGTATGGATATGTGCAAATTTTTAGATTTGACCGAAACAGTGGAATTTAGTGACTAAAATGCAAATTTGAAAATTCAAGGGATATTCGGAAATGAAAGTCAAATTAATTTATATTTGACTTTTTAATATGATAATGATCAGATGGCTTGATTTTATGGTGAATATGGAAATTCATTAATGGCAAAATGGAAATTCTCATAGGATTGAATAAAAAAAAATGCTATCATAATATATATTGCCATGTGATAGATTAAATTATCATTAAAATCAATCATGGAAGAGCATTTCCATTCTTCTTCCTCAAGGGCCGGCACTTTCAAGCAAGAAGGTAAACATCTTTAGTTTTAATTTTGAAGCTATTTCTTGAGAATTAGACTCGGTGTGGTTAGGAAAAATGTTCTACGTTCAATTCTTACATTTGACATGAATATTATAGGGTTCATGTTCAAGTTCATCTTGAGTTGATGAAGGGGATGATGATTCTTGTGTTTTATGGGTTTTGAAGAGTTAAGTGATTTTAAAGATTGATTGTAAGAATTGATGAAGAACATAAGAATGAAGTTAAAGAAAAGAGTTTGGATTTGAATCTGACAGGAGGTTCAAAAATTCACCAGAAATTATATAAAACTAATTTGGAAGTTATTTTATATATTGTGTTCATATATCGATCTAGTTTTTTTAAAACAAACAGAATCAATTTCATACTGTATACAAAAAGATATGAATTTTTAACCAAGGAAAGGTCAGAAAAATCGGACAGCAGATTCTGCAAAACAGATTCTGTTGATCAACTTTGAAAATTCACCATAAATTTTACAGAATGAATTAGAAGGAGTTATTTATATGGATAGATTCATATTCGAGTCTAGTTTTCAATGGAAGAAACGGAATTGAATTCCAGTGTGTATATCAATACATAATATTGATTCTTTAAAGGTATTGCGAGTTGTTTGAATATGGAAAATGGATGGGTTGTTGTGTAAGTGTTATATAATTGAGTGTACTATGCTGGAATTATTAGTATTAAGAATTTAAGTGGTAAAATGGTGAAGGACCATTTTGGGTAAATTGGAAAAGTTGGTTCCAATGTTATAGGAATGATTAAGTATGAGTATTTTGATAGAAATGAGTTCAAGTATATTTTAGAGTTATTTTGGAATGTGTTTATGTTAGTACAATACTAACATATGAAATCGTTATGAATGATGATTTATACAGATTGTGATTTATTTGTAATCGAAGCAAATCAAATATAAAAGGGCTTATGGTGGACAATAGTGAGGCTCATATATTTTGAAAGACATAAAGTGTCAAGGTGAGTGCAATACATGCATGAAATTATACATGGATGTTTTATACATCATTAGGAAGACTTGCGATAAGTCGACCTTGTTTATATCATCATGATATATGTCATTTTTATAACTTTGACATGACATTGAAATGTCATGGTATGAAATCAAAATGCATTGATCATGAAAAATATGATTTTACCATGAATGTTTTCGGGTATGAACTGCCCAATTTTAAATATTGATGATACTTTGCCATGGATGGATCAAATAAAATAGACTATATGCCCAAAGTAAGTCATTGAGGGACAGGTATAGTTGGCATGCCATAGAGTATAGCAGTGCATGTTTATATTAGCACTATAGTGTGTGAGGACACTAAGTGCAGGTTTATGTCTGGATTAGCACTATAGGTAAGCTTAGTGTAGGTGGTGGGCACGACCTTATGTGTATTATCCGGATTAGCACTATGGCGTAAGCTTAGTGTAGGTTTACCACTACGGTGCAGGTTTAGCACTACGGTGCAGGTATTTTACTCGTATACCCAGGGTCCTCAGGGTTGTATATTGGGCTATAGGCTATGATTTATGGTTTATTGCTTAATAAATGGTAAGCATGCAAATAAGCTTACGAGCTTATGGAATAATGGAAAGTATATGGGTAAAATAAGCTTATGGGCTTATGGAATAATGGTAAGTATTGGTAAAATAAGCTTACGAGCTTAGGTACAATGGTAAATTTTGGTAAAAAGCTTACGAGCTTATGGTTAATAATGGTAAAATATTTGTTATGCAAATAAAATGATTTTATGGAAATTTGAATTTGACATTGAAAAGCATGCATGAATTGTATTGTTTATTATTTTAATTGCCTCACTAAGTATATACTTAGCGTGTGATGATTTTCACGCGTAGGTAAAAAGTCAGTAATGGAATAAAGAGTTTAAAGCGTCATCAAAGATCGAGAAGTATATTTCAATATCAGTAAGACATCCTAAGTTGTAATGTTAGTTTTATTAGTAACATATAATTATAAATGTTTTATTTGTTTTGTTAAACAAATTTGGAAACAAAAAGGTAATTTTATGAGTTTTGTATAATGCTGAAATTACTGTAGCATTACGGTAGCAATTACTGTAGTGCATCAATGCTAATATTAATTCGATGTTTTGATGCATCGATGCATGTTCACGTTACTGTAGCACATCGATGCACTGTTCATAAAAAATCTTTTGAATTAAATTTGCTATAACAAAATATAAATTATATGATATGATATTTTTATAATATCAATTATTATTTTAAGAAAGTAAATTTTTAATCGTTTTAGAAAAGAAAATGGTTTTAAAATTCGGGTGACATCTATAATCTATATAGGTATAATTATACGGGTTATGGGTGTGACAATGAACATATGAAAAAGTGTTGTCGAGGCGAGAAAAATTATAAAGTGAAGTGAACAAAAGTTTGGTCGAGGTAATAAAAATATGCAAAGGTAAACTAATAAAAGTTGTCAAGGCAAATAAAAATGTTGAGTTTAATATATTCTGAAAAACCTCACACAATCAGACTTCTAACGGAGCACTTGGGTTGAATTTGTTATGCCAAGAAACTATTCTATGTCTAGGATGATTTACTATACTGTGCCTATAATTCCTGACATGTTTTACTAGAGTGTTCCTAGAACTTTTGCTACGACAATACTACTCAACATGAACTATAACCCTTGGTTTGTCAAACTGTTGCTATGACAATACTCCCTAGCGTAAACTGTAGCTTTTAGTCTATCTTACTCAAGCATTTACCCTTTTTAGTCAAATAAAACCCTCTCCTTATCTCTAAGGAATATTAAAACCTCACCATCCCGGATTAGGTCCCTTGTTCACTTGGATCTAACCTAACTCTCTCGATATTAGGTATCAACTCCTAGAAAAATGGCAATCTCTCGAAAGCTCTTACAGTGTCAAGGCAAAAGATTAAAATACTGAACAAAATAACACTTAGCATAAAAAACTTCATCATCATTAACAATAAAATAAAGTATCATCAAAGCATCATCCAACACCAAATAAAACAGTTTATGGTGTGGTAAATATCATCCCAAAATTTAGTCTTTAAGTACAAACCCTTAAAAGATATGAAAACGAAGAACATAAAAAAGAAAACTCCCAAAACATAGCTTTGACGTGACATTTAGACCACCACCATGAATGCTCTAGCGGCCAGGGCACCAAGGACGGTCGAGTGGGGACGGTAGAAAAAGTGAGTTACTGTCGCCACTTACTTCTAGCCTCTTTTCAAGGTATATTCTCCTCTCTTCGATCCCTTTATGAAGAGATATAATGGGGTATTTATAGTGGGAATTTCAAGGGTTTAATACCCTTAGAAATTCCCTAAATACCCTCGATTTCATACTGTAACATCCCAAATCAGGGTCAGTGACTAAATTGCAAATTTTGAAAGTTTTGTGTTCAATTTAGAAATGAAATTTAAAAGTCTTGGGATTTAAGTAAAGAATTTTCATATTCGATTAAATAGAAAAGATGGATGAACTAAAGGGGCAAAATGGTCTTTTCATGGGAAAGATTTTTATCTTCCCTTTTTGAGTATTATAAACGTGGGAAAATGAGAGAGTTCCGGACTTCTCTTCTTCATTCTCTTCTTTTCCACCATGAAGCCATAAGCAAAGGTAAGATCTCTTGTTAGTTGATATTTAGCTGAATTTAGGATTTGGTTATGATTATTGGATGATAATTAAGCTTAAGGAAAGCTTAAATCATCTTAAAGCAAAGGATGGTGGAATTAGGAGAGATTAAAGATTTTAAGTTTTTGAATGAAATCATGAAATAAAGTTGATAAGTTGAATTTTAAGTTGAATTTGACTTGTCAATAGTTGAATTAAGAGATTTGGAGTGATAGAAAGGAATTTAGAACATGTTGAAATTTGAGTATAATTATTGAATTTCATTAAGAGGAGAGGATTTTGAGAATTAAGATGGGCTAAATGAGTACAAATGGGCTTAAGTATGGTGTTTGAGTTTAGTATATAAAGAGGTTGAAATATGAAGTGTTTAAGATAAAATGAAGTAAATTTCGTGTTGAAAATATGATTTCTGGGCTAGGGGAATCGGTACCATTCAGGAATCAATACCCCCTCAAACGAACCAG